GGCATTTCTTCATGTTCTTTAATGTGTTCATGAAATTCAGTCTGGAAGCAATTTCCAAGTCTGGAAAGAATGCCTAGGTGGACTTAATGACCAGAACTGGCCAATTTTTTCTCTCATCCAAACTTCTTACTGGTGTAGTAATTCATTTAGTTGGGGTATTACTACTGGCACTAAATGACAGCTTACAACCGCCTGCTGGCATATTTGAGATTGTAAACAAGCCGGCTGGCATCCTGGGTCATGTCATTGACCAAATATGGTCATGACAATATTTGGTCGATGATGTTAGCCAGCATCCCCAGCTGGTTTGTTGACATTCATCAGCCAGCCAGGGAACTGCCATTTACAATGGAAGTTTAAAAGAATCATGGGTCATCATACTCATTCATGTGGGGGGGTCACATATTAGAGGCTCCTTTACTTTAAATGGGGCTTGCAGGGATGTGAAGATGACAAGGTAACCTGCCAGCGGGAAAGGCTTTGCCACTTTCTGATTGTGAAAGTGTCAATCACGATGCCTGCTGCTTGCCAAATTAAAAAAAAAAAAAATGACCAAGCACACATTAATGATCCTGATGGTACCCTGACTGAATTACAGCTCTCCGAGCTGTCATCAGCTATATAAGGGGGAAGGGCGGAGATTATTGACAAAATATGATCATGTGCATATTTTTTCAATGTTGTGACCCAAACATGGCCAGTGATGCTTATGTGGCAGGGATTCCTAGAGATGTCAACATTTTCTATGGATACCGTGGGTGTGGGAAGTTGTCATTTATAGAAGTGGTAGAAATATTGCTTCTATATATGATGTTTGGTTTCTGCCAAATGAAGAAAATTTGTAGATTTTTCTTAATATCTGAACAGCCAAGGTTGGGTCTGAACCTAGGTTTAGATTGAAACATTGGATCTTCCCTATCTGGTGATCTGGTGCCCTAGCAGTGGAGTGGTTGGGCAGGTTCCATGGGTGCACTCATTAGAATGTCTGGGCTACCATTTTGCGGTTCTCAGATATGGCACGGGGCTTGACTGTGGGCCACATCTGGAACCACATAGTGTGAAGTCAAGTGTAATACTGCTCGGGACTATTGGTCAAAGACATGATGGAACCTGTAAGTGAAGTAGAGCTAGTGGGATGAAGTTGAGCCATACAATACCATTTTTACAAAGCTATAATTTTTTAGTGCCTAGGCCAGGAGCTAGCTAAACAACAGATGCTGGGTAACTCGTTCTTCAGTCTAATAAAGGTTAAAGATGTCACAGTGGTGATTACAGAACCTGAGCTAGTGCCTTAAAATATGTAAATTATGGCAGAAGATATGTAAATTGTATAGCAATATTTCCTCCAGTTTTTTTTCTTTTATTGTAAAGACTATCTATACAGAAGAGTAAGTAGCCCCAAAGTTCCAGTAATAACTAGAAAATATTTTCATTAGGTCAAATATAATCATTTCAGGTGGCTGGTCTTTAATACTTGTAATGTCCAGTTAAATATACTGCATTTTTCCCTGAACAAAATGTTACTTTGTAATTAATCTTCAAAACTGCCACAAATTGCCCTCACTCTCCATTTGCTTAATTAGGTTTCCTGGTAATGACTTTCCTGAAATCTTTACTGATTCATGCTAAACCTTCCAGCTTCACATTAATGAATCTGCAACTTACAAATGCCAAAAACATTTATTCGAATAACAACTCCACAAATAAAATGATCAGAAATTGTTTATTTTAAATGAGAGAAACATAGTCACAATCAAGCCTATAATATGCAATAAAACTTTCCAATATTTCATAATTCACAATCAAGGCTACTTAATCCACTTAATGTTTTTCTATGATAGCTATTTTAGAATATTCCAAAATATAAGGACAATACAAGTCATATAATTTTCTTAAAAGATTACCTTTTCCAGAAAATAGTCTATGTAGTCAAATGTAGGCCATTTACAGTGCCTTGAAGATGTATTTACACTCCTAGAAATTTTCCACATTTTGTCATGTTACAAACAAATGTGTAAATTAGTTTTTTGGGGATTTTATGTGATAGGCCAAAACAAGGGTGCACATAATTGTGAAGTGGAAAGAAAATGGTAAATGGTTTTCAAAATTGTTTACAAATAAATATCTGAAAAGTGTGGTGTGCATTTGTGTTCAGCCCCCCCGAATCAAAATTTGTAGAACCAACTTTTGCTGCAATTACAGCTACAAGTATTTTTGGGGATGTCTCTACCAACTTTGCACATCTAGAGAATTACATTTTTGCCTATTCTTTGCAAAATAGTTCAGTCTCTGTCAGATTGGATAGAGAGTGTCTGTGAACAGAAATGTTCAAGTCTTGCCACAAATTCTCAACTGGGTTTAGGTCTGGACTTTGAGTGGCCCATTCTAACACATGAATATGCTTTGATCTAAACCATTCCATTGTATCTCTGGCTGTATTTTTAGGGTTGTTGTCCTGTTGAAAGATGAACCTCTGCCCCAGTCTCAAGTCTTTTGCAGACTCTACCAGGTTTTCTTCTAAGGTTGCCCTGTATTTGGCTCCATCCATTTTCCCATCAACTCTGAACAGCTTCCCTGTCACTGCTGAAGAAAAGCATCCCCACAGCATGATGCTGCTACCACCATGTTTCACGGTGGGGACGGTGTGTTCAGGGTGATGTGCAGTGTTATGCTTTTAGGCCAAAAAGTTCAATTTTGGTCTCATCTGACCAGTGCACCTTCTTCCACATGTTTGCTGTGTCCCCCACATAGCTTCTCACAAAGTGCAAATGGGACTTCTTATGGCTTTCTTTCAACAATGGCTTTCTTCTTGCCACTCTTCCATAAAGGTCACAAGGCCAGATTTGTGGAGTGCACGACTAATAGTTGTCCTGTGGACAGATTCTCCCACCTGAGCTGTGGATCTCTGAAGCTCCTCCAGAGTTACCATGGGCCTCTTGGCCGCTTCTCTGATTCATGCTCTCCTTGACTGGTCTGTCACTTTAGGTGGACGGCCTTGGTAGGTTTGCATTTGTGCCATACTCTTTCCATTTTGGGATGATGGATTGAACAGTGCTCCATGAGATGTTCAAAGCTTGGGATATTTTCTTATAACCTAACCCTGCTTTAAATGTCTCCACAACTTTATCCCTGACCTGTCTAGTGTGTTCCTTGGCCTTTATGATGCCGTTTGTTCACTAACGTTCTCTAACAAACCTCAGAGCTTCACAGAACAGCTGTATTTATACTGAGATTAAATTACATACAGATGGACTATATTTACTAATTAGGTGACTTCTGAAGACAATTGGTTCCAGTTTTAGTTAGGAGTATCAGAGTAAAGGGGGCTGAATACAAATGCACACCACACTTTTCAGATATATATTTGTAAAAAATGTTGAAAACCATTTATCATTTTCCTTCCACTTCACAATTATGTGCCACTTTGGGTTGGTCTGTCACATAAAATCCCAATAAAATACATTTATGTTTTTGGTTGTAACATGACAAAATGTGGAACATTTCAAGGGGTATGCATACTTTTTCAAGGCACTGTAATCCTGGCTGAAAAACTCCCATTTAGAAATCACCAAGCCCCATGTCCTGCCCTGGGTGAATATTGTTTTATTATGGGCAGTAGTAAAATACCACACTATGGTCACTAGATGGAGCTGAGGAGCAATGGAAATACATACCACTTTGTAAGTAGAGATACAATATTACAATTCTAGGGAATGCTAGTGGGAATTAGAAAAAAAAAGTAAACAATGGTTTCATTTATTTGTTAAATTTAGCTTTCTCTAGAATTGCTAGATTATGGTATGTACTGTATTTCCAATGGCTTTATCTAATTTACATAAAGTGATGTTTTATTATTACCCATTATGTTACAACTTTCAATCAAAAAAGAAAATAGCCTAATGTAGCCAGGTGCTGGTTATATCAATATGCCCTTCAGGGACATTTACAGGTGAGACTATGGTTAATCCTTTTCCCCCCTAGTGCCAGTATTGGGACTGCTATATCACTTCCTGTTAGCAGAGTGGATCCAGTTTTTATGACAGCAGAGGAACCTTGGATCTGTAGTCCTCTAACCAATACATACTGTATTTCTGAGCGCTGATTGAACTACAACTACCAGAGAGCTGGGGAACCAAAAGGTTTCTGGGAGAGCAGATACACTATATTGCCAAAAGTATTGGGGCGCCTGCCTTTACACACACATTTACGGCATCCCAGTTTTAGTCTGTAGGGTTCAATATTGAGTTGGCCTACCCTTTGCAGCTATAACAGCTTCAACTCTTCTGGGAAGGCTGTCCACAAGGTTTAGGAGTGTGTCTATGGGAATGTTTGACCATTCTTCCATAAGAGCATTTGTGAGGTCAGGCACTGATGTCGGACGAGAAGGCCTGGCTCGCAGTCTCTGCTTTAATTCATCCCAAAGGTTGAATTAAAAACTCACTCATCCATGTCTTTATGGACCTTGCTTTGTGAACTGGTGCGTAGTCATGTTGCAATAGGAAGGGGCCATCCCCAAACTGTTCCCTCAATGTTGGGAGCATGAAATTGTCCAAAATGTCTTGGTATGCTCACGCCTTAAGAGTTCCCTTCACTGGAATTAACTGGGGCCAAGCCCTAAAAAAACACCCCATAATCCCCCCTTCACCAAACTTTACACTTGGCACAATGCAGTCAGACAAGTACCGTTCTCCTGGCAACCGCCAAACCCAGACACATCCATCGGATTCCCAGACAGAGAAGCGTGATTCATCACTCCAGAGACCACGTCTCCACTGCTCTAGAGTTCAGTGGTGGCGTGCTTTACACCACTGCATCCGACGCTTTGCATTGCACTTGCTAATGTAGAGCTTGGATGCAGCTGCTCAGCCATGGAAACCCATTCCATGAAGCTCTCTACACACTGTTGTGCTAATCTGAAAGCCACATGAAGTTTGGAGGTTTTTAGCTATCGACTCTGCAGACAGTTGGTGACTTCCACGCACTGTGCGCTGTAGCATGCGCTGACCCAATTCTGTCATTTTACATGACCTACCACTTCGTGGCTGAGTTGCTGTTGTTCCCGGTTGCTTCCACTTTGTTATAATACAACTAACAGTTGACCATGGAATATTTAGTAGCAAGGAAATTTCACAGATGGACTCATTGCACAGGTAACAACCTATCACGATACAACGCTTGAATACACTGAGCTCCTGAGAGCGACCTATTCTTTCACAAATGTTTGTAGAAGCAGTCTGCATGCCTAGGTGCTTGAGTTTACACACCTGTGGCCATGGAGGTGACACCTGAATCCAATAAGTTGGAGGGGTTTCCAATACTTTTGGCAATATAGTGTAAATTCTACAGCAAGGAACCGGCTCATGCTCTGGGTGCAGGATTCAGAGCTGAACTTAGGAGAACTGCTGTTTTCCTCCAGGGACAAATTGCTGGCTACTACTGTGGGACTCTGCATACCAGTTCAGCACAGTGGTGACACTGATTGCCACACCAGGATCGCAGCAGCTTCTCTGCATTGGGACTGTCACTATCCAGTTTTCAGCCTGTCCTCTCTGCTCGCCACACTGATGGCTGTCAGGTGGCCACTCTGCGCTTCTCTGTGAACAGCCAAGATCCTCTGCAAGAACTCTGTTCCTAGGAAGCTGTGCTATCCATGGGATTGGTGAGTGGGTGAATGCTCAACCTCTTTCTGACAACACTCTAGAGACACTACATGCAGACACCTTTGCACCTCAGTACCAAGAGATTTTTGCTTTGAGCATTTATCACAGCCTATCTGCTATCTTCATTGAATTACCATTACTCACTATTATATATGGGCCCCACCATTGCTAGCAGAAGACAAACAGCTACCATCACATCAGGAACTATTTCTAGTTAAATGAACCTCTTCACATCTATGCCATTGTGATTCACATTAGATTGTCTATACCCATTTATGCCACAGTATATACTGTATATATATATATATATATATATATATATATATATATATATATATATATATATATAAATAAAATTCTTTGCATTGTGATGCCAGTGGACCAAAGGATGCTGACAAGTCAACAAGCCTTTTCTTTCCCCTCCTGCTGCTGGTGTTGCAGTTATATAGTTATAACGTACCATTTGTGACCATATAATCTGTTAACCATTGCTATTTGATTATTTTCATTTATCAGTTTTGCTTTTATGCGTTAACTGGGGATGTACCTCCTACTCTTTCATTCTGCGGTCTACTCTTTTGAACGAACTTAATATAGAGGTGTTACTAAAGAATTGTGTCTCTTGCATTATTATTTCATACTGTTGGAGGTGTCAGGAGGCTTGCAAGGTCAGCGCAACCACTGGGGACAAGCATCTAGCGGACCCTGCGGGAGTAACACTAAATTAATAACACTTGTTTTTGCCCAATCTGCAAAGAACAATTTGCTAGACGAATGGCTATGCAAATTGTTTTTACAGTTTATTAATGATAACAACAAGCACTTTCTTAACATTTGTGTTTCATATATGTATAATAAAGTCAACATTTTATTTTCACTTTGTTTCAAATTTTTCCCTCATTAAGCCCAGAGTAAAGTTTGGGGTTTGTTTAGCTCAGGGTAACGTTAAGCAGTGAATTGAGGCCACACCAGAAATTATTGTTTAAGGGCTTCTTGGCCCAATTTTAATAAAGAAAAAAAAAGGTCATTACAATGTATGTTTCCGACATGGGGTTTCCAACATCAACACAGAAATAGCAAATTCAGCCTCCTGTCTTACACATACAGCAGTTCTGCTAAGGCCTTCAACTTCAGGCTCTTGTCTGTCTCCCACAGACCACTTCCTTGCCAACACTGTCCACACCGCTGGAAGCCCCTTGCTGTTCTGGTATTCAGGCTTGGAACTCGGTCCTTTCCAGTACACACGTGCACCCCTCAGGCTTCTCCCTTGCACACACCTGGACTCCATGGTAGGGTAGAGCCCAGGATCCTGGTCCTGATTCTACAAATATCCCAGAACCACCTGCACAGTGTGCTGGCTGTTCTGAAACCCTGGTCCCAGGATTGGAGATTTCCTCCCACCCAGATCACTACGAAATCTCCAGGCTCCAGACCTCAGAGTTTTACCAAGCACTGATGAAACAAAAAACACAGTTTCCTCCAAATTAAGCAAGCACCCTGGAGCCCCTCAACCTGCCTTGTTGAGAATCCTGGGTGACATAATATCCTTTTAACCTCATGACAGATCACTTCAACTGTCACACTGGGTTTACATATGTGTGGGCCGGTTTTGACAGCATGATTTCAGCCCCCTCTGGTGTGACATTGTTCAGCAGTTGGAAATCGCACCTGAACACATATGTGAACCAGCCCCATCGAAAAGGCTTCAGGTTCACGTCATGCAATTTGAATGCGGTTCAAACGCATCAATTTGCACATGTGAACCGGGACTAAACCATAAAAAGTACTGTACCCGTGTATTCATTTAGAAACTAAAAACATATGTCAATTTATTTAATTTACACACAATCCATAATTGTAATTTATATATATATATTAATTATCATTTTATTGCAGACACTGCTTCCAAGTACATTAATATGATACAGTGGATTCTCCATATGACATATAATAACTCTTTATAGCATTACACCATTCAATAAATACCATGCTAAACCAAAATGTAAACACTGGCTGGTAAACATTTTCCTTTGCCCATGATACAGGAACAGAGTCATTAAGTGTAGAACATTAAAGCCAACAGCCAACACCCTACATAGTGCATGTGGCTTGGTTTCAGGCTCCTTCTAATGATGAGGCTATGTCACAGCAGAAGAATTTCCCTGCTATGCATAGCACAAATAAATATGCATACTGTAGGGAGCACCTGCTACTGATGGGATACTGCAGCTGTTGTGATAGCTGATGACCTAAATTTAAGCTGTACATGTGTTCATTTCTTTCTCTTAGAAAACTGCAACTCCTACAAAAAATAACACATTAAAATAGAAAAAATCTAGATACATGAATATAAAATAAGGCAAATCTCAGTTTAGATAATTACTACCAAAAAAGGTGTCCCAATTTGAAGATGTTCCCTCTATCAATGTTGACAGCTCAAAATGTTGCATTTTCCCTCAGTTGTCCTGACGACAGTGGTCACCAGGACACATAAAGGCGTTAATCTCCCAGAGGGAACATAGGCACCAATATGAAAAAAGTTTTAGCTTTACTTAAACTTTGACTGTAAACTCTGTAATACAATTAAATAGATCATAAGCCAGTAACTTCTGTAATATTATATGTTCTATATTTTACAGAGCCAGAGAGTTATTCAACGTTACAGAGGTTATAAGATAACGGTTGATAGGGTTGTGAAGATCCTAACTCAAGGGGGTTCAAATATGTGCTTGTTGGGTGCTAGCAGTGGCGTAAAGGTTGGCCCCATAGACCCTGGACTTTGCATTATGGGATAAAGATAGATCCCTTAGGCCAGCAATACATGCTAATGTTTCTCTTGTTCAGTCTGCAGGTTGAACTAGAGAATACAGTAGATTACTCCTGTGACAGAAGCGTAGGCAGGACAGAACACACAGAGAAGATGGGGAGCACAAAGCTTTATTGAGACAACAAAATGACAGACACTCAATGGGGAAATGGCAGGGAGGGTGATCTGTGCGCAAACTAGGGACGATTCCTGGTACGGGGGGGTCTTGCCAACTGGGGGGTGACAGCGAGGAGGGGCTAAGATACTTGTAGCTCAGCACCAAGAGCAACAGGCAGGCAGCCTACCCCTGGACAGGGGTCTCGGGCAACAGGCGGCAACCTACCCCTGGACTGGGGTCTCGCAACAGGCAGGCATTCGTCACGAGGGTCCTGCCTCAGCTGGGCTCCCTCCGTGACTGCACAGCGGACCGGGGCTTCGGGCAACAGGCGGGCAACCTACCGCTGGTCTGGGGTCTCGGACAACAGGCGGGCAACCTACCCCTGGGCAAGGATCTCGAGCAACAGGCGGGCAACCTACCCCAGAGCAGGGGTCTCGAGCAACAGGCGGGCAACCTACCCCTGGGCAGGGGTCTCGGGTAGGGTCAGGCGGTCTCCCCTTAGCTTTGGGCTCTCAGGTGTGGTGTCTGACCTTTGGGGAGGGGGATCATGCAGAGCTGCGGAGACTCCCACTCTGGATATTCAGCGGAGGGCAGAGGGTACTTCCAACCCTGGAGTATTACAGAGGGCTACAGTCCTGACCTTTGGGGGGGTCTGCACAGTACGCAGCAGGGATCAGTCCCCCCCCCACCCGAGCCTTCCAGCGGCTTTCAGGGAGATAGATTATTCCAGCAGCGTGCACAGGAACAAAGAGGAGGGCTGCTTCCTGTGCCAGTCCTTTTAAAGCCATGCGGGATGCTGCTGGGTTGCCTCGGCAACGGCCGGCCCAGCACCATTCATGGAAGCTACAAGGACAGAGGAATGTGCAAGGGGGGAGGGAGGGGTGGAGGGATATGGCCGAGAAACAGCAGGCAAAGGGGGGTGGGGAAGGCAGGGACACTCCGTGACAACTCCATCCATGCTTTACAGTGTGGGTAAAGGAATCTTACCTGACAGCTATTGTATTTTAACAGACACTGCTCCCACAACTAGCAGAACTCAGAATACCCAAAGAATGGCAGTATCTGATTCCTGTTCCGCTGATAATTTTCCACCCAGTTCCTTCAAATCTCAGACAGAAGTCTGCAAAGCTGGGTTGTGCCAACATGTCCACCCATGGCTCAAATTAGACTCTGGGTTTGCATTGTGAGATGGAGGTAGAGACTATGCCAGTTTTCCTGCAACAGGAAATGGAGACACAGTAGGAAGTCCACCAAGTGGTCCTATATCAGTAAAACATATTTGACTAATGTGTGTATTATTAACATATGTTTGTAGTTTTTGGGGGGCTAATGTATTTATTTCTAATATTCTCTCCACTCGTAATTATTGCAGTAAAGTGTCTCTGTGATTTGCCCTTTGCCTAGGGAAAAGCAGCAGGTTCTCTTCAAACTGAACATGTTGCTTTTTCTGGCATTTGCAATCCACAGATTCACTTTAAGATATTAAATTCAGAATGTATAATCCTTGGTGGGTGAGATGCCTCATTCTGCTCACACATTTGAAGTATCTGAAACAACTGCTAAATGTGGTAAATTAATCATTGCAGAAAGAGAAGGATTGTATGTCCAAGCCACATGCCTGATTGCTTGCCAGTGTCCCTGGTATTCATTTTTCAGCTGCCTGAAGAAGAGGCTTACTGCTCCATGGAGAATGACTTCAGCTGTACAATATGACAAAGTCAGCACCACTTATTACTTTATCATAAAATCATTGCATTGTAAGGGTCTAGATATATCTACAGAAAATAGCATGCGATTTATAGTAAATAATAAAGTGCTTCAATAGACATCAATAGATTAGTGGTTTACTAATAATGAGCAAAGTGGCCTGGTTTTGGTTCAAGGGAGGATTCACGAAGACAACCTGAAATGCACAAAACCAACCATAGCACCCCAACCTCATTGAAGTCTACAGGAGCAGAGTATTGTTCTTTTTTTGTTTTCCTTTTCAAAGCCAGTTTGCAATCCTTTGGTAAAAAACTAAGTAGTTGGGCACTGCCATGCAATGGAAAATTTTTTTAAAATATTCCATTCAACAGGAAGCAAGTCTTTTAATAATACGCTGAAGGCCAACTTTAAAAATATGGAATTCTTTTAAGTAACATGCTTGGGGGAATGCCTTAAACCTGCACACGATGTGGCGCACCTGTGCAATTGAGCAGATGAACTAAAAATTCTTCCTGCGCCCAGTGAAACCCTACTTCAGGTTCTATCCTGCTGCTGTGCAATGTGGTCAACACAAATTGTGAAAAATATAGATAAACAGCGCAAACATAGACCTCTACATCAAATCAACATACAAAGTGCAAACATATATAGAAAATTAATTAATAATTAATAGTGAAGTCCATCAAAATTAATAAACCAAAGTTCAAAAA